ACGTGATATTGATACTCTAATTTTTATCCTTAACTTCCTTTAATGGTTTTCTGTTTTAAGAAATTCACACTTTGTAACTCAATAGTGGCTAATATGAAATATTAATGTGAAAATTCTTTCTTAATTTTTGTCCACTATAAATTACCCCAGTTTAATGAGGAAAAATTGTTGCTGTTGTCACACCCTCGCGGCGTGTTCTGAAATTTGAAGAAACCACGTGTAATGGGACGAAACGTACGTCAGCAAAGGTCAAACTGACTCATTGCGAATCCACAATCTTAAATTTCACAGTAAACAACTCTCTTCGAGTATGTAATTGCTTTATTCATTTTTCTTCTTGATCGAAACTTTGCGTAGGAGTCTTTCCCAGTTGGTATACGTTTAATATATCCAATACTTTTCAAAATAATGTTTATCTAATTTGTTTAGTGCTAATAATTATCTGTATTTTTACAATTATTTTTATTCAAAAACTTTTCGATTTAGTTGGACCTAGGATTATTATTTACTTTATTTACATTTCAAATTTCTTTGTTCAGTTCAACTTCAAATATTTCTTCAAACATTTTAGGTCATAAATTCCTTTCTTTTATTATTCTGTCACTAATACCTGGCGCATTGTTAGCTCTTTCATACTTGTTTTCAGAACTTTTCTGTATCCAGTTGAACTCAACACCCTCTCGTATATGACGACATTCAGGAAATTCCTACATCACCATGATATGTTTCATTTAGACTCCACCCCCTTTGTTAGTTATTCTCTAGTTTTAAGTAAATTTAATGTTGTTAGTTAGTATGTAAGAAACCTTCTCATTAAACACATCAATCAAATTCGCTACTAGTTTTATTTAAAACATTCTAGTAGAACGGGAGTTCAGAAACGCAACTTCCGAGTGGTCTCCGGATAATTTTTTATCTCACGTCTGCACATAATTCGACCAACTTTTCCTTTCTTTTTCCTCCAGTTATGGTTTCATTAATAATTCAAATTCCGTTTAATCCTTTATATAGGTGTATGGTGTTCTAACCTTACGGGTAACAATAGAGAAAACGATAGAAAAAAGAAAGAGGGCGTACATAGGATTTGTAAATTTAGAAAAAGCTTTTGACAATGTTAAGTGGGACAAGATGTTAAATACGTATACTTAAAAATGTAGGGACGAGTTACAAAGATAGAAGAGTGATACTAAGTTTGTATAAAGAGCTAGCTGTAGAGATGGGGCTGCAACGTAGAGAAGTAAATATTAGGAAGGAGTCAGACAGGGATGCACAATGTCACCGCTACTTTTTAATCTATACATCGAAGACGCGATCAACATCAACAAAGACAGTACAAGTGTAGGAATAGATATACAGGGGCAAAATCATTGCATGGAGGAGTTAGAGATAGCATTAAATAAAATGGAAGCGGTATTAATAAAACAGTACTGTATGAAAATAAATAAAAGTAAAACACAAATACTGGTATGCAAAGGAAGAAAAAATAGGAAAAGAGCGAATATAAAGGTAAGAGACGAAAAATTAGAAGAAGTGGCCGATTTTAGGTATTTAGGAAGTCAGATAAGTTAGGACGGAAGGAGTAGTAGCAATATAAACCAGAGGATAGCGCAGGGTCGATTCGCCTTCAATAAAGTCACTTCTATGCTCGCGAACGCTTAATTTATAAATTCGAAAAAGGCTGTTAAAGGAGTATGTTTGGAGCACGGCGCTGTACGGGTGTGAAACATGGATAGTGGGTGTGGCGGACAAGAAAAGGTTAGAAGCGTTCGAAATGTGGTGCTACAGGCGAATGATGAGGATACCGTGGATAGAAAAGGTTAGAAATGAAGAGGTATTAGAAAGAATAGGAGAACGGAAATCAATAAGAAATAGGCGAGATATGTTAGTAGGACACCTTCTCAGGCGTGAAAGTCTAGTCGGAGACATATTAGAGGCAGAAACAGGAGTTAGGAGGGGTAGAGGTAGAGAGATTAGATTGCTGTTCGCAAATAATTAAGGATGTGGGTTGTTCTAGTTTTATGGAAATGCAAAGATTAGCTCAGGATAGGAAAGAGTGGAGGTGTATGTCCAACCAGTCTTAGGACTGACGACCTTATAATGATGTTGACGATAACGATGATGATGATGATGGTGTACCTATGTATATGATTCTTGTACAATCATACTAAATGTGATTGTTTTGATCCCTAAGTGCAACGATAGTACAAAAAGAGCCTATCTACACAATAGAATGCTAACAGGCAGGTAATAATTAATTAACAGAAATCGAAGGATAATCTTTGGACTCTTGATTGCTCTCTAGGATAATGATCAATCTTTTAATTTATTGGCTTCGTTTTAGCAATAAATTGCATATCAAATACGTATATGATAATTACACACGTATGTACCTTACGGAATACAATTTACGTCCTAATACTTAAGGAGTACAATGCTGTATTTTTTCCTAAATACGTAAATATCATAGAATTACTTAAACGATTGCTTAATCACGTTAAGAATATGAAATTAATTGCACGCATGTCGTTTCAAAGTAAATATAGTTGTCGTAAAATAAACGTGATATTAATACTGAATTTTTAATTAACTTTTTTCTTACTTAACTAGTTTATACTTACCGAGCGGCATGACCTAGAGGTCTAGACCATTGCTTAGCATTCGGGAGGACGCCGATTCGATTCCAGGTTTGTCTGCCTTGGTCCAAGTTTTTCTGTGGTTTCCTTGGATCACTTAGGCAAATGCAGAGGCAGTAATATTCCACAGATAATCTTTCATTTTCTTCTGTCTTCATTTCGACCGTCTCATCTTTCTCACCCGAACCACCACCCACCTATTCCTACGATTCCTGAAAGGAGGCTGAAGAGGGCCTTCCGTCCTACTTTCCGACATAGTCCGGAGGGACTACCCGCCCACCAGTATTAGTGGTTGGTGGGAATGAAACACCCAAAAGTTTGTTTAAATTTATACTTTTAACTAGAATTTGGAGACTGTGGTTAATGGCTAATTAAAAAAAAACAAGACATCCAAATTGCCACTATACATTGAGTATTGTGGACACGTGTTTCCCCCAGTTCTTAACGTTTTCCCTCGTTGATAATCAAAACGGTTATTGCCGCCGGCTTTAAATAGTGAAGAAAGGCGACAATGCCTAGAGCAGTTCCTTGAGGAGTTTTTGTTTTTAATAAAAATCTGCAAAATTTTGTGAAAAGCAATCGTTCCGTAATTAACCATACAAGCGGCATATTTTTCATGAACAAACGAATGTTAAATGACGGTTCATTTTATGATAGGGACTAGGACCACCATGTTACGAAAGAAATACACCTAAATGAATAATGGAATTGACTTATACATTCGATAAACTTAAGGTAATCAGCAGGCCCTTACAGGGAAGAACCACAACCACGTTTACAGTGACAGATAAAATACCCTCACTAACGATGAAAGCGTGAAATGAAAAGACTACGGATGTCTTCCTTTTCTAAAAAGATTTTTTGGAGAAAATGAGTAACCTCAGATGTGGTTGAAACCACAACCCGATTCAAATTTGAATGACTTTTGGATCGAACTTGATAATGGGAAGGCTGTCATGGTTCTGTGTCTGTTTGTATCGGCTTACAAATGTGAAACAAGCTTTTCAGATTATTATATAGTCCTGGAGGTGTTAATTATATTACTCGCTTTTCGTAAACTCTAAATACCGATTTTTACATAATTTTTCGCGGAATATTGTTACTTGATAAACCCTTCGAAAAAATATCCGAATTATATTTATAGTCTCAGTTTCTATTTTTAAATGTGATACCTAAAGAACTATTTCAATAGTTTTTGTAGACAGCCAGATCAATTGTGGGGGCCACACAGTGACGTATTAATTGTGTCCGAAGTATGTTTGTGCTCCACAATTGATCTAACTGATGCGTACAAAAAGTACTGAAGTAGTTCTTTTAAGTCTCATATTTAAAAATGAAAACTCAGACTATAAGTAAAATTTTGACCTTCATTTGCGAATTTCGGAGCATCTGGCAGAAATTACCACCGACGGAATGTGTCTGGTAGTGTTAATTAGTAATTTTTAGAAGACTTTAAGCAAAGTGAGTGATGGTTTCGCGTACCTCAAGTTGATGAGTACAACATGTACGCAATATGGTGTTAAAATCATAAAACTATTATCAATTGACTGTTTTTTTTAACAAGATGGGATTCTGTCAAACAAAGGTGGATCAATAAGGGCCTTCCGCCTTCTACCTTACCTTTCGGTGTAGTTCAGAGGGATTACCCACCATCACTCTCTGGCATTAGCGGCTGGTGGTAAAAAAACATTAAAAAAAAAAATGAAAGCTGCCACAGTAGCTTGTGACAGAATATAGGGTGTTGCGTCTTAACCAATTGTTAAAACGCTGTATTAAAATACATATTGTAGTTCGACTTAATTTTTATTTTTTGTGCAAGTACAAAGTTTTTTCCTTTTTTTTTTTNACTTTATCTTTCTCCATTTATCTTTGTTATGTATTTGTTTAGATTTTCGTTAATAACTATATAAATCTCTTGAATTTTTAATTTGAACCGGAATTAGAATCTGAATAATAAGAGATAATTACTCATGAGTATCGCTAATAAACCATGAATTGTTGATAAAAGTACATGGCGATTATTGTACGTAATTTACTTCCTTTTTAATTTGTTGAAAATATTACATAATAGTCACTAACCTTCCATGTTCCTAGTCCTATTACAGGCATGTCAAGACCATTGTTCAGTTTTATTGTAGGAGCTATTGTTGTGTCGCCTAACGTCATAGCACTGGCGACGAAGCATATCACACAGTTGAACCACTTTGTGTATGTCATTTTGAAATAAACACCCTGTATAGAAAGTTGGTAATGCTGACATATTTATTAATATTTTTTCGAAGAAACATTTATAGAGATTAAGCCCTAAGATATACTTCATTTAATTTCTCTAACGATGTGCCCCCTCCAATATCTTGGATGCGAGCATACAGTACCTGCCAAAAGTTTTGTTCAATCATGAATAGTAGTGCTAGTCGAAAACAAGCGTTAAAGCCTTTAATATGTCTTCCAATATAAATAACCATCTCGTTGATATTTTCA